CGGATGCTATGGCATGTATGTGGCTGGTGACATCAGTGGGCCACGTTGATGACCATTGTGACGGTGACCGCTGACGCGTGTGGCAAAGTATGGGAGGTTTGGGTGTGGGGGTCCTGTGGCCTGAAAGATGCCCAAATATGGGAGAAGGAGGCGGGTCATGGGGGATGAGGGCCCCTTTCCTGGGGCTCACTACTGCCTGCCATGTTGCTCGTTTGAGAGTCTGTAAACAAATTACTTTGTAAAATGGTTAAAATAACACTATATTTCTTTTTCCAGAGCAACATTATGCTATACAATACTGGATTTAAATTTTCATTTAAAGTCACTTTCATGTCAAACAAACGTAATTATGAGTTGAATGCAGTGTACAAAATATATAAGAAGAGCTCTTATAGATAAAGATATGTGTCTGTATATGTAGGCTTTATATATGCTATAGAGCTGCTTTTCATTTGCTGCAAGAGTGTTAGCTAACTGCATTCTGTGTGAAAACTGGGGAAAATGAAATCAGTAGTTTATACAGAAAATTTCTAGAATGAATGATAGAAAATTATGATCATTTTTGATTGAAGAGTGATCGTTCATAGAAGCAGAGTCTTTGAAGATCATGATTTCCATGCCAGAGCCTATTTTTCTGGGCTTGGGGTTTTTTCTTACTTTTGCTTGGTTGTGTGCCTTTTTTTAAGGAGTAAGTCCAGGAATCTGAATTTTGAACAGAAGTGTCAGACACCATAGAGCAAATCATTAAATTAGATGTAACAGTCTGCTTCAACAAGTGTTCACCCCTACGTTTTAAAAGAACCCAAGTAAGAAATTGCTGAACTAATAATTCTGGGTTTACTGTGTCATCTAAACTAGCCTTGGTGGCAGAGAGATGAAAGAAGTAATACAGTAGGCATCTTCTAAAGGAGCTCCAGGGACATTCAAGTGGTTCCATTACTACAGGCCTCTGGATTAACGAATTTGTTGTATGGTCCTCTTGTATACTAATATGTGTCCAGGAGACAAGGGAAATGTTATGGTAATAAGAGGTCAGTTTTTGTGACAGGACACATCAGCAATCTGTAATAGCATTCAGTGTTTGCATGCATCATCTGGAAAAGAAGATAAAAATTATTGTGAAAAAATTGTGATACAAAATTATTGAAGTCAGCAACAATTAAGAGTCGCAGAAGAGTTTCAAGACATATTAACTGAATTGTAAAATGATTTAGGAATTCAATATTGGTAAATGTAAAATAATGCAGACAATGGATGAATCTATGCAAGGAAGAACATTTAAGTTGTGGATAATTCTGTTAAAAATTTGATTATGTGCTTAGTAATGCTAAGTAGATAAGTCTAAAAATTATTAATGAAGGAATAGGAAAGAAAACTGAAAAATCATTGTGACCTCATATAAAATATAATGCACTTGTCTCAGGAGTACTGCCAGCAATCATTGTTACTCCCCATTCCCCTCTGAAAAGGTGTAATAAAACCAGAGAAATTAGAGAGTAAGACATAAAAATGTAGGAACTGCCTTGATGGGCCAGACCAAAGACCTAGTAAGCAATAGGGGCATTCTTGTGTCCTTTTAAGAGTTGCTTGGGACAAACATAGTACTGGTATATATGCAGGTTGGGAAAGGCTTTGCCTGTGTGGCCAAGTGATAGAGTGGCTGTAGCTTTATAATAAGAACAAATGAAATTGTCATTCAACTTTCCTGCTTCAGAAAAATGCTTAAAAAGGGAACAGAAATATGATTTTCTCCAACATAAAATACAGTCTTCAAGTAGGAAGATGAAGCGATGAAGTTTGCCTTAATATATTGTTTTGATTTGATATATCTCGTAGGGATTAGTAAGTTCTTGGATGGGAAATTACTTGCATATTACCCCTTTAAAAAAAGAGAAGTCTAACAAACCATTTTTGGATGCCAGTAAGGAGTAAAGTGCAACTACATTAGACAGATGTTGGTGTGTAGTTTATCTGGTCATCGATGATGTTCACAAATCACCATATTGGTCTAGAAGCATGAGGCGTTCAACTCAAAGAAGTATCAGAAAAAGTTTCAGAGAAGACATTAAGAAAATGAACACAACAGAGGTGAGATAGTAATGCTGCATGATATATGGAAAGCCATCTGCATATTTGCTTTGATAATATTAGAAAAATTGAGCAAACATGAGACATTTAAAAGTAGAAGAAAAATGTTTTCATATACAATGTACAGTGAACTTCTCAAAGTGCTCAGTCTGTATTACAGAATTAAAGGTAAGATATTTTTTGCAGAAGCGACTCTTCATTCAGAAATTGTTTTATTCGAAAAATGCAAATGCTTATATTTACTCTTGGTAAATATATATTCCAGAACTTTTGTCCTTGTCTTGCTTTTGTGTTGCCTTTTCACCTCTTCCCCAGAACTGGTAGTTCCCTGAGTCCCTGCTAGATGGCATGGCAAGCCACCACAATAATATTAATGTGACAAGGCAGATGTACTAGTATGTTCTGCACAGTAGCCAAGTCAACTGCTTAGCCGACATTATTCCCGTCCCTTTCTCTTCATATTTTTCATCATGTTTTCGTATTTATATATGGGAGATCACAGCTAGGTTTTTTGTTTCTTAATTACTAAAGCAATGATAAGCAGTCACCTGTATGGTGAAATCATAGTGCTTGTAGCTGTATTTCAGAAAGCACACTTGAGTCCTAATAGATGTTCTCACTGCTTTTCCCATCTTTCCTGCTGTAGAAACGCTGTGATCCAAGCTCTAGCAGTGTGCCATTCCCTCCCTCATGCCCAATCGCAGGTGAAACTTCCTCTTTGGTCCTCTAAGACCTTGTGAATCTATATACATTGTCCTGCTGCATGTCTCTCTCTGGCTTCACAAAGACCATGCTGGGATGAGGGCATGGTGTTTGAATGCTGGCACTAGCAAAGCAAAAATTCAGTTTTGCCTTCAGTGTTTTTCTCCCTCTGAGTGTGTTAAAGCCTGATTCAGAAAGCCTGATTCTCCTGTCACTTCTGTTAGGGTGAAATTAAAAGTAATTCTGAATAACTCACTGGGGTGACACTGTTGTAACTGCTGATAGCAAAAGCACAATTGGAGTGTAAAAGATTTACATGGGGCCATTTGCAAAATTACAGTTTTGAATGGATTTCATAAAGCAATGTTTTAATTACTGCTGCCTTACATAGTAATTACTTTTAAAACAAACATGATAGATGCAACAGGGAAGGACCAGAGACAGATGGAATGGATTGGCTATGGGCATGTTACCTGTAATAGAATTCAGTCAATATTTGCAGGTGCAGATTTACAGAAAGGGATAAGGGCCCAGTAGTCCCCATCTCCAGCTCCTTGCGGCAGCACTGGGAGCCTTGGTATCCACAGCACAGCATTGAGGTTTCTCCTTGACATCTCGGTCACAGGAGGCACATGCAGATTGCTGAAGGGGATCTGTGACACCATGCAGCAGCTGGCAAGTGGGAGCCTTGTGCTGGCTAGTGTATGATGGGGCAAGAAGAATCATGTCCCAGTATGTGATCAGGTATGCAAGAGGTAAAGCTCGTCTTCTGTCCCTTGCCTCTCCCAGTCACATGGGGACTGCATTGGCCCCTGCTGCAGCTTGACTTGGCAAAGCACTCAGACACTAAAGAGACTACAATATTAAAGAGGTTAATGTGTAAAGATGTCATGTAAAAAAAGATCCATACTCTTTTTTGACCGGGCCATAATAGAAAAAGCTTTTCTATACTGTAGAGTTAGCAATTCTGCACACACAGGGGGTGTACAGAACTAGTGAGTCTATTATA